CATAAGGTCCAGGATAATATCACATTTACGACTTATCGATTTTTACAAATGGAAATAATTAAACACCGTCCATGATAATATACGAAATGACAAAAATTAATTGTCCATAAATAAACTCATTCATTCATTATTTATGAAAGAATTTTTTTCTAGATACAGAGCAAATGGAGACTTGTTTTCCTTCGTTACAACTGTGTTTGTATTTTTCATCGCTGGTACTATTTTCTATATGACATACAGATGATACGTTTGTACACATTACGACGTATTTATTTAAAAATATTCATAAAAAGAAAATATGACGCAAAATAAGCTTGCATCAATCACAAGAAATAGGAATCGCGCGAAAATTTATATTTCTCCTCTAACAATTGTAATAAACCAAGATTAGTACATTGATATTCTAATATTCTTTTAATACTTTGACTGCCACATCAACCGTATGTGGGGACTGTTTACTCAGATTTGAAAATTAATTCTTATGCGAATCTATTATAATTTCCCAATTTGATTAAGGTTCACAAAACGTAAGAACGTTGAAAAGCAGTTGATATTATACGCCTTCACTTATCAATCTTAATTTGATTAAATAAAATTCATCAGTTTCACGAAATTTTTGAGACTGTTAGCGCGGTTGCCAAAGTGTTAATGCATCTACTATTTCATATTGCACCTATTAATGTGTGCTATAAATGTATAAATTCTGCTGACTAAATATGGATTACGATACACCGAGTGTTACACACAAGGGATCCAGAAAGATACTGTTGGATTCATTTCTTACCTGCTTAACACCTCAATTTTATGGGCGTAACCCACGTCACCGCAGATCGCAAAAACTTTATGACGCAATTTTATAGTTTCTCCTTTATGGTCACGTTCACAAGGCGTCTTTCTTTCACTGCGCAGATTTATTTATTTATGTCACGTTGCACGGTTATATCATTTGTCAAAAAGTTAGCCAAAATACAGTTTTCGAACTATATGGCAACAAAACGCTGTTACGGTACATATGAAAGGGTTAGAATCCTAGTGGCGTAAGTCAGATTTTCGAAAATGTTTACTTACTCTATGGCGGCCATATACTTAAGATCATATGAAAAACGGTATAACTTTGTTAAATTAACATTGAATTTTTTTTAGATGACAGAATTACTAGCCTATTAGACAGTAACTATAATACTATTTTTGCTATTACGTTGCTGTTACTTTTTTAAATACCTTGTAGTAAATGATAATTTATCGTTTAGTCTTGTATCTTCATTTTATCAAAAAATGTAAATATACCTTTAGATAGTAACGAAGAAGGCAGTTCTAAAGATACAAAGTTTTTATAAGTTAAAGTTTCTAAATTTCCTGTATGAGGGGCAAGTAGAGATATGAAACTTCTGAAAATGC